ATGAGAAAGTTCGTAGATTTTTGCATATAAATAGAGAACAAATCTGACAATGTGTCAAAGTTAATTTGTATTTGGTGTTTGTATAGATGTTGGCTAATTAGAAACAGAGAAAAATTGTCATCAATCATCATGTGTCAAAGTCGACAGGTGCACTTATTGTTGCTTGACAATTATAATTTCTTTTCGGCACTCAGTGCGGATAAGGCCTGTATCCGCACTGGGTGCGGAAAAGTGTAACTTTGAGCCCGGAAATGCGTGCGGAAAAGTACTACTTTGCGCACGCTCGTAGGAAATAGTTATTTTCCTAACAAGTGCGCAAAGTGTTACTTTTCCGCACGCAAACACAGTTATACGAACGACGCGAAGCGGAGTTCGGATACGTGTTTGCGTGCGGAAAAGACACTTTGCGCACGTGTTAGGAACAAAATTTTTCCTACGAGCTTCATATCAGGTAGGTAACAACAAAAATTTAAAAAAAAAACGATAATTTGTTTAATTATTTTTAATTAACTTGAAGGGAACCTATGCATTTATCAAAAAATTACATAACAAAAAAAAAATATACCAGAAAATCATCGTCAGAGCTCTTCATCTTAAAGCGTTTAATGGCGATTTCCATTTGTCATCAGTGCCGCACTGAGTGCATCCGCATCTTTTTCTAAAAGCATGTAACATGTAAGGATAAGGATACATTTTTTTGCCCTGTTTCGACAAATGGAAAATGCTATAAATTTGATGAGAAAGTTTGTAGATGCATATATATAGAAAACAAATCTGACAATGTGTTGAAGTTAATTAAATTTGGTGTTTGTAGGTATAGATGTTAGCTGGAACAGGAACAGAGGAAAAATTTGTCATCATGTGTCAAAGTCGACAGGTGTACTTATTGTTGCTTGACAATTATTTTTACTTTTCGGCACTCAGTGCGGATAAGGCCTGTATCCGCACTGAGTGCGGAAAAGTGCAACTTTGAGAACCGAAATGCGTGCGGAAAAGTACTACTTTGCGCACGCTCGTAGGAAAAAGATATTTCCGGCAGCATTTGTTCTCAGGCAGGAATACAGGTTAATAGATGCACATAATACTACACAGAAAAAAAAAATGGTTCAAACAATTTTTTTTTACGTTCTAGCAAGTAAATATATGTTTAATATATTCGGACTACACGTGAAATTGAATTTACCTCATAATTTACTTGTAGGTTAAAATACAGTTTGCTTGAAAAGAGCACATAAATAGTTAATCATGATTTCAAAATTAGGTAACTAAAAGTCGACGTTGTTGAAGCACTTTCTTAGTGTCTTGGCTCTACCATGTGAATAATGTTGTTCGACCATATAAAAACTTAGTATAAGTATACTATACGATCAAGATAAGTTATTGACATTGCTGAACAACTAAACATAATATTGAATAAAACGTATCATTTTCTAACATAAGTTGGCGATTACTTGAGTCAACGATATGGGGTCATTGCGTTAAATTAAATGTACTTGTATCTAAAAACAAATACTACTTCGATTGAATTGATAATTATAATTAGATCAAATGAGTATATACTTACCTGAATTATGTGATCAATATAAAAGTAGTTCTTGCATTATTAAGTATACCTCGGATACTTTTGTTGTAAGTACTTAGAAAAATTGTTGCAAGTAAATAAATAGCTCATATAAGAAATCAATTACTTGCCATAAGTATTTGATACAGTGTGTTTTATATATACAGGGTGTTTGGTACATCGGTGGGAAGTTTTCAATGAGTGATAGTTGGGCTCATTTAGGAGCTGTTTGACTACATTAACCCTTAAGCAAAGTTTCGTCGTTTTTGAGATATCAGCATTTTTAGATATTTTTGAATTGTTCCTGAGACGGTTATATTGTTTTTCTTTGGTTGTAAACACTTCACCCTTTCTCAATTTTTTTTTTCCGATATTCCTTATATGCACTATTTCGAAAAATTCGGAAAGAAAAACCGAATGATGATACAAAAAATATATAGCCCAAGTTAGGTGTTAAAATACATGGATTAAAAATATCTAAAAATGGCGATATCTCGAAAAACGGCGAAACTTTTCATTAGGGTAAATATGGTCTAACAGCTTCCAAATGACCCCAACTATCACTCATTGAAATATTCCTATCGATGTACCAAACAGTCTGTATAAAAACGCATAGAACAGGGATATTTTAAACTTAAGTTTTTTTTTTAAGTTATGGGCTTCAAAAAATACGACTTGGTTCTAATTTAACATAACTCGTTTTTTTTTTTAGTTTATAATATCTTTGTGCTATAGGTATGTGCTTACATATATTACACATTGATTTTTTTAACGCATATGTATCATTATGTAGCATAGCTATTTATAAATTTCCTAAATAAACAAATATGATAAATATTGGAAAGTGTGCTTTCTTACAGAATATTTACCATGCAAGCAACCTATGAAAACCCATCACACTTGTAGGATTTTAAAGGCCTTCTTTTTCCAAATAAAACTCTGTTTTGTAGAAAAAAGGTTGGTATATTAGAACGATAAAAAAATATTTATTTCCTGAGTTAATAAGGAACAAATAAACAAGTAACAGAACAGTCTTTCAAAAATAAAAATCAGGCACTGCTGAAGCAAGTACAAAAATAACCCCTATTTCATACTGTGACGAGATATTATGTTTCCTGGGATCATTTGTGTCTGGAAAATAGCATATTGCATCACTAGTCTGAAAAAATGGTATAGCAGTGTCTTGCTTGAAACCTAGCGAAACTTTTACAAGGTAATAAAGAACACAGAAACAAACCAAGTACAAAAATGGCCTTTATTTCATACTGTGATGGAATATGATATTTTCCGGGATCATTTGAGTCCAGAAAAAGCACATTGCATCTCTAGTCCAGAAAAGTGCTATGGCAGTGTCTTGCTTGAAACCTGACGAAACTACATAAAACAAAAGAGATAAGTGTAAAGCATTGCTTTTACCTTCAATCTGTCTTAAAACTAATAAAGAACATAAAAACGAGTAACAAAACAGTCTTTCAAAAACAAAAATTATTATACTCTAAAGCGACCTTTATTTCATACTGTGACATCATACAATGAGCACGCAAATGTTGGAATCAAATCATAAAATATACAGGATTGATTTTTTTCAAAAAACCTCGGATGAGTCGATTTTGATTTTAGTGGCCGTTTTGTTGATGATAATATAATTTAGGGAAACTCAAATACCAATTATGACAGCTAACTTTATTTTTTCGAATGAGAACATCAAGTTTTTATTTAATTTTCAAATTCTACTTTAAATTCCTAACCCATTTCCTGCATCATACCTACTGTTTCATAATATAGATAGTTGCAAATTGACTTTTTCAATACTTCCGAAACAGATGAAGATAGGTATAGGACATGATACATAGAATAGGTCCAGAATTTAACGTAAAATTGGAAAACGATTCATTAAAAAAAATAAAGTTAGCTGTCATAACTTGTTTTTGATCACCCTGTATACTTACATGATATTATAAAACGGTCACTTAAATCAAAAATCGACGTGTTCCAGGTTTCTTGAGAAAAATCAACCCTGTATATTTTATGGATGTTATTTCAACCTTTGCGGGCTCACTGTATAATATTTCCCCAAGATCATTTGATCCAAGGAAACATCACTTGCATAGTTAGTTCGTGAAAGTGTACGGGTTAACATCCTGACAATACTGATGAACCGTTAAAATGCTCTCAAAGATCTGTTGATCAAATAAAAAGCAAAAAGGTTTTATTTTTGTTTTATTACTATTTAATAATAACTAAAGTAGAACGTTTTATTTTATTATTTTATGCTGTTTTTATTTAATTTTTTTAAAACCTTTTTTGCTCTTTTTCTTTAACATTACTTAGTCCGTGAAATAGCATCACAGAATGAAATAAATGAAAGATAACTAAACATTAGTATTTCTTACTAATACAAATAGCATAAAGATGATAAAACAGGAACAAGTAACAAACTAATTGGGGAACTTATATTTTAGGAATAACACATTTTCCATCACCAGTATAGTGAACACTATAAGGAAATGGATTGCAAAGATCTGCTGCATAACTGTATAAAAAGAGATTTTGTTCATCAAAGGTCGGATTTATTTCATAAGCGTATATATGATTGAAAAAGCCATAAACATGTAGCTTAGCTATAATAAAATAAATATCATCATCGTCCAACACAATATATTTAATTTGACCGAATTCTACATCAATAGAACACTGTCCTTTGATATCTCGATAAAAAAATTGTATTTAAATATTACGCCATTAACATTCAGCCACGAAACAAAAAAGGAATTTTTCGAAAATAATTTGAAAAAATCGAATTTTGAAAAAATATCTAAACTCTGATGCATAATGTTGAAGTCAAGTCTTTTAGTGAATGAAACCTTTCTTGCTTAATAATCTTTGAGAAAATTGTAAAGAGTCCTTATAAAATAGAGTAACTAGGTTTACTAGATTTTTCCGACAAGTTGTAGAGTGAACTGTGGACTTTAACTTTTTATGGTACGCTTCATACTTCATACACCAGATATTTCTAGGAGGGCCTATATCTAGTATAAGCTCTGGGTAATGAAGAAGGAAATGGTATTTGGGTTTTAAAGGTACATTGAAGTTTTTAATAAATAATTTATGATGTTCTTCAATTATAATTCTTAAATATTCAATCTTCTCTAAAGTAAAGGATCGACTTAGAAGTAGTTCAATAATTTCTCTTAAAATGAGATAAAACTTCCATGCAGGAGCTGATTGTGGTACTAAATCACCAACAAGTATACCAAAATAAACAGAGAGGGATAACGTTTCACTAGCTGACATGATAAGTGTTTTTTTTTTTAGATGATCATGCTTAATAGAAGGCATGGCAGTCCCAATATCAATATCAATTTAGAAAACTTAAAAAATTGTATTCTGTTATTTAAACGATTAAGATCAAAATATTTTTTATCTATTAAATCATTGATTAAATATGCGATGCCATATCATAACGTAAAACACCTTCAAATACGTCATGCATCAAATCACAATACCTATTTCTGGTAACATGAAGACTCACTAAATCATTCCAGATGCATTTTTCTTTGACACCATAACTTAACTCGCCAGCATGAAGTTGATAGTTGTCAGTTGTACGAAGGATCAACTTGGAAACATCTGTCTCTGTCTTTGTAAAATTTCTATGTGTTACACAAATACGGCAAAAATAGTCAGAATTAAAACTTTCCGAAAACCCAAGAATTGAGTTTAGACCAAGATTATCTCCAAGAATTAAAAGTAACGGAAAGTATACTTTTTTTTTCTCATTATTAATAAATAAGTCAATTCCTTGAGATTCAAGTTTTTTTAATTCATTGATTAAACTGGAGAACAACTTTCCATTTCCATAAAATTGTTTATCAGAAGTGTAAAATAGCTGATATAAAAAAACATTTTCTTGTAAAGATGTATACTCTGGTGGAAGACATGCTAAGCTAACATATACAGCTCCTATTTCGTCATAAAATAATAATAAGGGGAATATTACTTTACCCTCAAAAGAATTTTGAATATTTTTCCAGAGTCGACCTTGAATAATGCTAGTTGTAATAGTTTTTTGTGATGTTTCTTCAATAATATAATTTAAAATTTCATTATTAACCTTAGGTAACTCTAAAAACTTTTTTAATTTCAATTCTAAAGAACACTTTTGTCCAAAGTCAGTATTTATTTTAATACCTGGAGCTCCAGGTTTTGAAATATTATCTAATACCCATCGTGAACCTATATAAAATGGCTCCGAACGAAATAAAGTGTCAGAATTTTCAAAATATTTTAGTCTTAGATAGTCTGATTTAATTTTACTGAAAATTTCATCAAGCGCACGTACTTCTTGAAGTAATATATTACTAGATTCAGAGTGGTGAAGAATTTTTTCAGATATGCTGTTCAAAATACTAAAGATTAGTTCTTTTGTATCACCAATTACCTCTTGTACGACGCTTTTGTTTAAAGTAGGGTTACTATAAAGCTTTGCGATAAACTTTATCACTTCATTTTCTAGATTAGGACCTTCTGAATCAACAGTGGATTCTACATGGGTTGAAATAGAAGGAACATTTTCACTCAAAGACACTTCATGATCTGTCTTTTTTTGTTCTGTGGTTGGTTGGGTTTGAACAAATATTGTATTGTTATTATGTGACATAGCATAATGTTTTCGTAAAGTATTTATGTTACTGAATGACCGATGACAATTTTTTTGGACACATTTATATTTATCCAAATATGGATAATTTAAAGATATATGTTTGATTAAACTTTTGTGACACAGAAAAGTTTTCGAACATTTGAAACAACCAAAACTTTCTAATTCCATAATGTTGCAAAAAAAGGTTACAGAAAATGTGTTATACCTAGGTAGTTACCTACTTATTTAAAGTTGTGTTTTCATGAACTTATCTTATAAATTAGATAAATTCATTCAAATTTGGAATTTCAATGTCTTTCTTTGTGTGGTACGTATACATTTTCCACTGAATGAGGTACCAAATATGTTGGCTAGCCACAGGATATTGAGCATCAAAAACCTGGTAGGCTTTGAAGCAAGTATCTAGTGCACTTATGACTGAAGGACATTTGAATTCCAACTCGTTTTAAGCTCGGACCTATAAGCAAAATATAAGGTTGTACACATATACCCTTTGAATAAGCGAATTCAACCTGTTGGTTTTTGGCGAATCCCTGGCCTCGGTTATGGAGAGTTTCCAAAATTTTTTGGCTTTGCTTGTCCTTGTTTTCGGAGGTAGCAACGAGGGCAACAAGAATAATTGTATTGCTTTTTTTGAATCTAAAAAAAAAGATTTGGTTACAGACTTCAATAGGTATTTCCCTTCCAAAGTGTCAGGAAGAGTAGTGAAAAGTGGAACACATTTTGGGAGTCTTGAATTTTAAATTTTATAATTTTGGTCAGATGCCAGGTAAAAAAAAATCTGTGTTGGTGATGTGTCATTTACAAAATAATGTGAAATAAACTTTTTTCTACAAGCGTGCGGAAAAGTGTACTTTTCTGCACGCATTTCAGGTCATGAAAGTATCACTCTTCCGCACTAGTGCTTTTCCGTTTTTTCCGCACTGAGTGCGCAAAAGTAAAATACCTGAAATTTTTAGGTATACAGGTACTTACAGGTAAACAGGTATACTACAGGTACAGGTAGGAAAAAGTGGAAAAAAAAATCTTTAATTGATACATATGTAGGTTAAAATATTACCTTTCATCTCGTAGAAAGAATAGTGTTCCTAACTCGAGGGGAAAGTCTCTTTTCCGCACGTGATTGCTTGCCGAACTCCGCTGCGCGTCGTTTGACAAACTGCAATCGCAAGTGGTACTTTCCGCACTAGTCAGGAAATATACTATATACGTCAGGGGTGAATGGGTCAAATTTCCAGAGGACAAGCACAAAAAAAATTGGAACGGAATAATTATTACAAAAAGGTGTCAGAAACTTACCAGCTGTAGGCTATATATAGCATCATCTGTAGAGGTTAGCGTTTTTTTTCTCTTGTCATAAACCTCCACAAACATCGCATCAAATGCAGCCTCCACATTTAGTTGTGCTGTTGAATGAAGCTGTTCAAAATCATATGCAACCTAGAAAGACAATTATAAATCATTTGAAAGTTAGTGTTGTTCATTTCTAAAAACAAATGGCGGGTATCCCATCAATAATTTTAATTCTCAAGAACTTACCAATTCGGGAGCAATATCTTCTTTTAAAATCGGCCATTCCTGGAAATAGTCAGCAATGGTAGTGTTGTCGGATAATTTTCGTAAGCAGTAGGAGGCTTTCCAATGTAAAAGAACTTCAGCTTTTGGTGTAGAATTTTTTGACAGCCAAATTTTACTGTCTGTTACTGATTGGTCAAATACCCCTGTAAAAAAAAATATTGTGTAGGTAAAATTTGAAAATAAAAAGGAAGATAATTCTTAATAATATAAAATACTTATGTAAGCATAAATTACCATTATCAGTTTTATCGCATTCTTCTCCTTTTGTTCCTTGTGAGTGTGAGTTTTCTAATTTCCGAATCAAATATAATTTGTTTCTATATTTCTCGATAAGTTTGCCCCTTGCTGGTTCGGATCGGTTTCGGTGGGAATCTTTTTTCAAAATAGGTTCTATGAAGTACGTGCTTTTTTTTTCTTTGGGTAAGATTTCGATTTTTTTTTTTGAAATCACTCGAAAATGGTGTAAGGTTAATTTTCCTTGGAAAACATTGAGTAATTTAGTAACTAGTATGTCACACAATTTGTCCCTATCCGAATTATTTAGACTTCCATTAGGACTTTGCCCTTTAGTCAGTAAAGCCTGACCAAGGAAATCCTTCGTCCAAATTTCCTTCACACTGATGTTCTCCACTACCACATTATTCTCCGATGTTATGGAAAATGCTGAGTCTAGAGTGACTGTACTTGTGCTCGGTGAATTATAATTTGGTGCTAATTGATGCAGTGGTTCTGATAAAAAAATAATGGGCAAATCTAAATTTTGGGTTGATGGCAGCGGATCTAGAGAAGTCACCGTTGTCGTTCCTTTATTTGACTAGTCTACAGTAATAGCCTCTGTCAGATTTTCCTTTTCTATGACTTGAATTTTCATTGGAGGTTCGTAATTTTCCTCCGATGTCAATTCTGTTTGTGAGGTTTCAAGCTAGAAAATAAAATATAATAACATGCATGCCATAATAGTACCTATATCAAATACAAAAAAGTACAATTTCCTTCATTTGAGAGCTCTATAATATTTCTTTTATCTACGACTATTTAATTATAAACGCATTTTGCTTGAGATAGTAACCACATAATGTAACTACTATTACACACCGTTGAATATGAATTACATATTCCACACCCGTGGAATATAGGTACATTTTTATATGTATTCCATGACATGACAGCATTGACAGCGTTCCAAAATAGAATCGAGCTTGTTTGGATTGTTGTTACTAGGCAACTAAAATATTTGATTTTGACAAAATAAGTATATAAATTGTATATAGTCCGACAAATACCATTTTAAAGTCACGTGATACTGATGGTGGCAAAAAACGTATGTCCATTGATAATGTCGTTGATATCACCTACAAAAAGCTACTGGTGGTTAATTACTATTGAATTTTAATATATGTTCCCACTAGCATTTTACAAACGCGTTTCGGAAGTAGTATTGACCAATCAGAGGGTAATTTTAATACTTGCAATTGTTGCGAGACTCACTTTTGTCGCATCTGCTGTCTGTTGTAATACATTCTGAACTTAAACTGGGTACCCGTTTTCTATTTGCTTCTTTTCGACTTGGAAAAAGGTTAATATAGTCAAAATTATTAGCTGTGTTTGTTCGTTGTATTATTTTCGAAAATAACTTTGACAAACTAATTGATGACAGTGACGGATTCTATTTCAGGTGAGAATTTTATGAACAATAATTAGACAGAAATTTTTTTGTCAATTTTACTATCACCGCTGTTTGAGATGTATTCAACAAGGATAGAGAAAAATCACGTGACTTTAAAATGGTATTTGTTGGAGTATACAACATCTTTGTAGCCTGTCGACTACAAAATGGCCCCAACTCATTTTCGTCAAATCTGCAAATTATTACCTATAGTTTCTCATTAAAATGAATAGTCGTAGATAAAGCATAGTATTTGACTTACGTATAATGGCGCCTGCGGCTCGTTAAATATAGCCTACATTATACGCTCGTTAAATAAAATATTTCTTAGCTCCGATAAAGGGTGCAGGCAAAATCATTGATTAATACAGGGTGTTTCTGAATGATGGTATAAAACTTTCAGGATAAATAGTCCTCATTGAAATAAGAAAAAACTTGATAGGAACATGGATCCGCAAATGCTTAGTTTTCGAGATACAGGGCGTCAAAGTTTGGAAAAAATCGGTTTTCTGCTCAAAAATCTGTTTCCCGATTTTCCTTAAACTTGACAGGTTTGTTTATAATAACAAAAGGTATTTTTTGACTAGATTAGATTTGTTAAGAATGATTCCAGTGGCACCCTAGAGGGCAACTACGTTGGTAAAAGTAGAAAGAAAAATGGCACACTATTTTTTTATACCTTTGATATTTTTTTTAGATTGAGCAAGTCATATTAATAGTCAGAAAATGATTTTTGTTATCACAAACAAACCTGTTACGTTTAAAAAAAAATCAAACTTTGACAGCCTGTATCTCGAAGACTTAGTATTCGCGAACCAATGTTTCTATTATGTTTTTTTTTTTTTAATTTAAATGAGGGCTATTTATCCTAGAAGTTTGATCCCACTATTCAGAAACACCCTATAGATTAATTGACTGTTCGATTTTTTTTTTTTTTTAGAAAAATCGAAATATTGATTGATCGTTTTTTTTTTATTGATCATTTTTGATTAGGTAATCGATTATTTCAGATTCATCGATTAATTGATTACATATTTGTAGAATTTTTTTTTAGAAAAATCCTCGGAAAAGTCGATAACGATTTATCGAAAATACTTAATCGAATCGTCAATCGACTACTTTGTATTATCGATGATTGCGTATTTCAATAAATTTTTAAATATTAATTCATGAGAAAAATTAACAACTATTAAAAATAAAAAATAGGGGTTATATCACAATATTTAGCCTTAACAATTATTAGTCACCTGCCCATATCTTACCTCTACTTTTTTTAAATTAGCAATCCCCCTTCTTAAACGAACTTTGTCCCCTATATTCCCCATTACCAGCTTCTCTATTTCTTGCTCAGAAAGCAACTCGAGCAGACCAAGTTCCGTAATGTTTTGTTCTAGAACAAATAGTTAACATTTCCTTTTATCAAAGAATATTTTACGAGATATTTTAAAATGAAATAAAATAAAATTTTGACCTTAAGAATTAGTATAGTAAAATACCTGTTCCCAAGTTTAGGAAGTTTTGAGTGTGTAAATATTTACTTGAATTAACTGTTGATAATCCTGGAACAGACTGTCCACAAAATAAAACGAGATTGTAGGCGAAAACTAAAACAATACTTTATTCAAATTATTAGCGTAGGTACAGTAACGAAACCGACGGAAGACTGAGCCCTTTAGATTTAATAAAAATAAAAATTATCTCTCTTCTAGCAAAAAAGTAAATTCCGAGAACCGGCGTGGTAGCCTAAACAAAATCTATTTATAGAATAAGGGTTCTATTGTTATCGATGTGAAGAGACGCTTTATTCGTTGTTATTTTAAATTGAATATTCCAACATTAACAACATCAAAAATTAAACTATTAATGGTCCCCTACGTATTCACCAAGGACGAAAACTAACCAGGCCATTTTTATCATAAATAAT